TCTGGAGCTCTGTGCAAGCTCCTTCCCCTGCCTGGACCTGCCTCTGGCTGCAGTGCTCTACGGTCAGCATGCTGGCCAATCTCACTCCTCACCCCTTGGGCCTTAACCCCCAACCTAGACCTCGCCCTCCTGTGCGGCTCCCTGAGCCACCGCTCCCGATACCGCAGCAGCTTTCCTTCCTCGTCCCAGCTTGCATTTGCCCCAACAGTAACGAGTACAGAGGGCACGAACCCTCCACCTTCTGTTGGTCCATCACCTCTGCACACAGCAGAAACGTAACGGTTTCCTGGATAAGTAACTCCAACCTCAAAGGGCCAGAGGAAGAAGGACGCTTCAGCTTAGCCGGCTTTGCGTTCCGGAGCCGCGCACATTCTCGGGCCTCAACGTTGGTGTTCTGATGGTATTTTCTAGAATAAGGTAAATGAGGCAAGCTCTCTTCCTCACTGGGGCAGCAGTGACTTTAGGCACATTGTTTACCATTATTATCTGTACCCAGGGGTGGAGGGGACATATCACCATACAGGACACATGTGATAGCCAGCGAAGAAAGATGGGCCCAAACTCTTTGGAGTTTGCAAATAATATGCCTATTATATCTCAAAATACCAATTCTGAGGCATGTAGAGCTTTTTTTTTTTTTAAGTCAGTTGTAAATTTGCAAAGGCTAACACGTGTAAAGGAAGGTGTCTTTGAGACCAAGGTCAACCCCAGGCAGAAGATGCAATGACATCTTAAGCATTGCTCATTAGGATGACAGTTTTTAATTAAATATTTTAAGTTGAGAGTAAGTCTCGGGGAAGTGGTGTACATGTGTATTTTCTCTCCTGGCATCAATACTGCCATTTGAGGGGCCGTCCAATTTAGTTTCGCTCGGAGAGAAGGGACAATGGTCTGCGTTCCTCCAGCTGGCGTATTTTACAAGCATTAATGAACAATTAGCCAACACTGGCACCTTTCCCTCTGTAATCCTGCAGTAGATCACTAATCTCCACCACTAGCAGCTAATGATGAAGGTCTCCTAAGCTTCTCATCCCAGCCAGTTCTTAACACTTGCATAAGTATGCTTTCTGAGGACAGGGGCCCCTGCTGCTCTTCCGTCCAGGAACAAAAGCCCGGGGACATTTTGAAGCTGCTGTTCAATCACACTTCTATGCTGGTGTTTGCCTTCCTCCTACAGCAGACACCCGTGATCAGCGGAGGGCTCCGGGGGTCACGGAGGGCTCTGTGTTTCAATACTTATAAGAATGTATTCAGACCGCATTATACAACCCCTGTGTGCACAGGCAGACACCCTAAAGTGGGGAGGGAAATGCGGACTAAATAGAATCAAACAGTAGTTCTCCATGAGTCAGCTTTGATTTAGCATTGAATAACACTGTGTTTGAGACCACATTGTCATTAAAAAATGTATATGGGAGAGGCAGATTTATCTAGAAACCCACACAGGATAGGTCTTTGGTTCTCTGAATTTAATGGACCTTATATTCAATTGTCTCTCTCTAGTGGGGCAGAAAGCAAGCCACTGTTTCATTAGAACTCCCCTGTAGGGTCAAGATTTGAAGAAAATTCGGGGTCAGGACAGAAACGCGGGAACCCAACTGTAGAGTGGTACAACTCCAGAATAATTGCCACGGATCACGCGCTGTTCTTTTGAAACTGCCTTTCAGGCTTGTGCGACTTCCTGGGAAACTGACTGTGCCGGGGAAACTTGAAGCCAAGATGGGATTCTAAGACTGACTTGTGGGCTGAGGTTTTGGCTGTACAGGCTTCGGGAGTCCGGGTGGACGGAAGACGCGGGACAGAGGCGGCACCGACTGCATCCGGCACCAAGGAAAACTGAGCAACAGCCCGCCTGGGGCCGAACTTGAAACTTGGTAGTTTCTGTAGTTTGTGGCGCTCAGAAAATTGCCAGCACGTCACGAAGTATCAACATACTAAAAGGAGCAAAGGTACCAGCACTATGGGGAGAGGACACAGCTTCTAAGGTGCGTGGCCCTGGGGACATCTAGGGTCCTAGAGAAGTAGGGTGGCAAAGGGGAGCCTTTCAAAGGGGAGCCCCACTCCCCACATCACTTCGCATGTGGGGAACTTGAATATCTCATTCTATAAAAAATAAAAGGCATCATATAGATATCTCATTATATATATATATATATATATATATATATATATATATATATATATATATATATATATAGCAATAACAGAAGGGAAGCTGTCCTGCAACATTTAGTGGGAATGAACTTTCCCATCCATCATCTCTCTGTTTAATTTACCCATCAGAATGCTGAGGCGTGGCTTCCCTTTCCCTCTGACATTCAGGGTTGCCAGCCCTGCAAAGCAGAAGAAGCAGACAGTCTCAGAGTAAGAGCTTGGAAGTCCTATTCACACTCAGCCCCTGACCCCTCATGCGATCCCATACAGCTCACTTAACCTCTCCACCCTTGTGCTTCCTATTCATTCCACCAAGACAAAGCTACCTGCCCCCCCACCACCACCTCTGGAGCTGAGAGGTTGAATGAGCAAAGGCTGCAAAGCATTTGAGAAGCCATTGGTTAATGTGAGGCTCAACCCGTGGACAGCCCAGAGAAAAGCTGGTCCTGTGATGGCCCAAGGGAAAATAAAGATAGATTATAAGGTAGGGATGTCCAGAGGTCAGTAACCTTTGGCACTGAAAATTTTGTAGTCATGAGACTTGAAAGCAGGTCTTGATGACAGAATATTTACCTTCCCCCACCCCTCCCCTCTCTTTAGGAATCACTGACTAATCTATTTCAGTTAAGTAGGTGTTTGAACAAGAGTGGTAAAGTTTGTTGTTTATTAATCCCCAGTTTGGAAAAATAATAAGAGACCATCAGGTTTCACTCTCACAAGAATATGTTTCTCAGTGCCTCATAATTAAGCCATGCTCATGAAGAATAAAGTCTGTCTTCTTGCTCACCTCTCTCCTGAGTTCTCCTCTTGATTTAAGTCCCAGCAATGTTTTCACATTTTAATTCAAGTCTCACCCATCCCTCCCATGAAGAAGTCCTCAAGATCCTGACTGTTTGAAGTAAATTACAGTTTCATGAGCCATATCCCAGCTTTTTCTCCTGTGTGTTTTTGTGCCTGTGTGTATGTTCTGAGTGTAGTGCATGTGGATGCAAGCATGTATCATGTGTTTATGGAGGCCAGAATCCTGTCTATTACTTCCCATCTTATTTATCTGAGATATGTAGTTGAAGTTTTCTCTGGTCTGGCCCAGCCCCACAGACCCACAGCCACTTTTAAAATAATCACTCAGAAGCTTATATTAATTAAAACTGCTCGGCCATTAGCTCAGGTTTACCACTGACTAGCTCTTACATTCAAACTCAGCCCATTTCTGTTAATCTATATGTTGCTACATGTTTTGTGGCTTTACCTGTGTGCCATTACATGCTGCTCCCTGGATGGCAGGCTGGCATCTCCTGACTCAGCCTTCCACTTCCCAGAATTCTCCTCTCTGCTTATCCCACCTATACTTCCTGTCTGGCTACTGGCCAATCAGTGTTTTATTTATCAATCAAATCAGAGCAACACACATTCACAGCATACAGAAAGACATCCCCAGCAGAGACAGGGTCTCTCTCTGAACCTGGGGCTAGGCTGGTAGCCAGCAGGTCCCAGAGAGGCTCCTGTTTTTCCTCTTTAGTCTGGAGTTAATGGGGTCCATGATGCTAACATCCAAACCCATGTCCTAAGGCTCACAAAGCAAGTGCTCTTACCCACTGAATCACCTCTTCATCACCCTCCATCCAAGCGGACACTTTCTTGCATAGCTCATTCTAGAACGTTCTTATACATTTGTAGAGCTGCAATCCACCACTGAGCCATCTCTGTATTTGCTGGGGGTGGGTGACACAATGTCTGCAATGTCGGAGGCACTCAATAAACAACTGCTGGACTTAATGTAAGTGATCCACCAAATAATAAGTCAATGGGTAAACCATAGACCAACTTTTTTTTTAATCATTACTTTTTATGTGGATGGGCGTTTTGCCGGCTTATATGCCTGTGCACCATGTGCATGCCTCATTCCTGTACAGGCTGGAAGAGGGCACCAGACCCCCTAGAACTGGAGTTACAGATGGTTGTGAAATGTCATGTGGGTCCTCTGAAAGAGCAGCAGGTTGTCTTAACCACTGAGCCATCTCTCCAGTCCCTCAACTGATTTTTGAGTGTTCATATGTGCCAAAAACTGTGGTAGGCCTTCTCTTAATACAAACATGTGTATACATATGTGTGTACTACAGTTACATGCATACATACACATGTAACAGACATGCATGTATACATACACACATGTATAAAATGAGGCTAAGATACTTGTGCTTTCTGGAAATGTTCAACAGGAAGACAAAGCTATTGTACCTAAGCCATGTAAGTGCTAACTTGTCTCTTGTTGATGTAACGGAAACAAATTTAGAGAGGAGATGACCAGGAGGAATCTTCTCTCAACTCCAGCCTTCCTCCATGCCACCTCACCCAGTCTAACAGGTCCTACTCAAGTTCCACTTTGAGGCTACTAAACTTAGGGGACATGCCTGGAAGAAGAGTGGGTAAGCCCCAGGTCATTCTGTGTGAACTTGGACCCCCTCCATTTTATTCCAGGATTTATTCCTATTCTTGTTTTCACTGACGGGGCTAACCTGCCCATCAATTCCATAAATGGGAGTTTTCAGACGAGAAGGCAAGTAAAACACGCATGCATATTATCAGAAGAAGGTGCTAACTGCCTTAAGAAAAGCAGATGGGCCGGGCGGCGGTGGCGCACGCCTTTAATCCCAGCACTCGGGAGGCCGAGGCAGGCGGATCTCTGTGAGTTCAAGGCCAGCCTGGGCTACCAAGTGAGTTCCAGGAAAGGCACAAAGCTACGCAGAGAAACCCTGTCTCGAAAAACCAAAAAAAAAAAAAAAAAAAGAAAAAGAAAAGAAAAGAAATGCAGATGGAGTACCTCCCATCACTTCTAGCCAGGAGAGGTCAGCAGGAAAGAATGCGAGCTGGACTGCCAGAGTAGATAGGGATGGGACTTGAGAACGAGGGGAGACAGAGTCTCAGAGAAGAGCTGAGTGCGTGTGCATACACATGTGGAAGAATCAGCGTGTCTGAGTATGGTAGAAGAGCACAAAGTGAACGTGAGTCGTGGCGTCGAGGGAACTAACTCATGGCCAGGGTAACAGTCACCCGGTGGAAGCCTCTCAGAGAGGTACCCTGGCTGTTTACGGCAAATAAGACCTAAGAAGAGAGTCTGCAAGCTGGCGCCTTCCTTAATTGGACTACTCAGAGTAGGCGTGTGCTCCCAGCACACCTACAAAGTGCTGCCTTTAAACGTCCTTGCCTTCGCCCGCCTTCCCTGCAGAGGAGAGAGTCATTGCCCGCGTGCTGGTGGCTCTGGAATGTTCTCACTCCGTCTTGGCCGTGTCGTGTCATCAACCTAAAAATAGATGCTAATTAACAAGGTTATTTCTAACTTACGTTGTTAAAAGAGAGGAAACAGCGATGAAATACAGAGTATGAAATTAACCAAGGGCAGAAACCAATTCCAGTTCAAAATTCCCACCTTGCCAATATTCGGTTCGCTAAATACTGTCTATTTTTCTAAATCAGACAGTCATTATCCAAATTCTGTCTCCCGGATGTGATAATATAGTGAGATAAGACATGCCCCAACAGAACACAAACTGGCTTTTGGAGTCTAGATGCTACTTGGAGTGTAGAGATGGGCAAAGCAAATATCTCACTCTATTATCTGCTGTCTCAGAACCAACAGATTACATGGTTCACTGGCTAGCTGAATAACTTTTAGACAGTTTGCTGGTGTCTATTTACACATATTCCACAGAAATATATTAACAGCTGAGAAACAGCTGTAAAAATTACATACTGAGGCAGATAGACAGGAGCAATGATCACTCCACGTATGTTTCTGTAAAGAAGACAAAAGTTTTAAATGACAAAGGAAATGGAAAACATGCTTTGCACACCCAGATGTCATGCAGCTATCCAGTGGGCCAAGAAAACATATCACAAAATCTCCCAGAGACCTCTTCTGTCTCTCTGGGACATAGCTTTAACATAGATTTTTTTTACAGTATTGATTGTAATATACATGTTTGTACTCTAAAATACCTTACTGAGCAATTGAATTCTTTATATAAAAGCCACTGTTCATATTCATTTACAAGCTATAGAAATAATGGAAATTTTCCAACTTATGCTTTTTCTTTAATAACAAAATAACTCAATTTTAATGTCCTCCCCCAATCACACATATTTCTCAAAAATGTATTAACAAATGGATTTTCCTTGTTACTACAATGACACTATTAATGTTTGTTTTAAAAATTAAAAGAAGTACAGAAATTTTTCTTCAGATAAATATTGGTCATTGCTATATAGGATTACAGACTGAATTTGTGTAGGAAAATGGACAGGGAGATGTCCTTGGCGTTGTGTTGGCCTCGCATTCACAGCAGCAGTGGCTCCGTTTGTATGCACTTGAGAACAATACTGCGTACTCTACCTCCTTTCACAGATTCAGAGAAGCAGCCCCTCCTTCTAGAACTCTCCCTTCCTCGCCCTTCTCTCTCTCCAGGCTGTCCTCATTTAAAACCCATGACATGCGGGGGCTCTCCAAGAGTTAGTCCTGAACGCCTCTGGTCTGTTTGGCTCACTAACCTTATCAAGTTCCAGTTTCAGCGCCTGAGTCCTGAGTGTGTATCCGTGGAGTGCGGATGCTCCTTTCCCCTTTGACAGTCTACACAAACACCCCTCCCCATCTATGACATCTAGGACCCTCTCCCAGTTCCCTGTCCCAGCACCACCACTACCACCCTTCCACTTGGACAGCCGGAAGACTTGAGCCGGTGGCTTTGACACCGCGGTCTTCCCCCGTCTATCTCACACTCCTGTGTTCTTTGCTCTCGTCACAACCCTCTCCTGACTGTTTCTGCGGCTTCTGCCCCTAAGGCCTGTCTCTCAGTGGGTGTCTGAAGCAGCATCACAACTGACTTGCCCATTTTTTTCCCAGTGCCATGTGGTGGTATTGTGTTCCCCGAAATATTGTGCATACTAATAAACTGATCTGGGGTCAGAGAACAGAACAGCCACAATATTAAACATAGAGGATAGGCAGTGGTAGCACACGCCTTTAATCCTAGCATTCCAGAGGCAGAGATCCACCTGGATCTCTATGTGTTCAAGGATACAGCCAAGCATGATGACTCACGCCTTTAATCCCAGAAAGTGAGCCTTTAATCCCAGGGAGTGATGGCAGAAAGCAGAAAGGTATATAAGGCATGAGGACCAGAAACTAGAAGCATTTGCCTGGTTAAGCTTTTAGGCTTTTGAGCAGCAGAGTTCAGCTGAGAGCCATTTGGATGAGGACTCAGAGGCTTCCAGTCTGAGGAAACAGGATCAGCTGAGGAACTGGCAAGGTGAGGTTAGCTGTGGCTTGTTCTGTCTCTCTGATCTTCCAGCGTTCACCCCAATACCTGACCTAAGGTTTGATTTTGCTAATAAGAACTTTTCAGATTCGTACTGCAGTGCCAGGCATTCCCAACAGTGTGGTGAAACACACTATCCTAAAATACAGATGCCCGTTTGTCTGTGCCTGAAGTTCTTCAAAGCGCCGCCCTCACTGCTCTGAAATACCACAACCTTTGACAAAATCTTGCTTGATCTTCCTCCCACTTCTTCCCCAGCCTTGACTCACACTCCTTCTGCCCAGCTGCAATTCTCCAGGTGTGCCCTCTGTCACGCACCGACCTGTGACGCCCTCCCCACTCTTGGATGCCTTTTACACTTTGCTCTTTCTTCCTAGAATCTGGTCCCCACCCTGCCTGTCTAGTTTCCCTGTTTCTGCTCTGCTTTTGGATATTAACTCACATATCGGTGGGTCACTTTCCCTGAACACTTCCTTCCTATACAAACTCTATTCTATGTCATTTCAGACCTAGTCAGGGCTTGGGATATTCCCAGGATTCTGAGACATTTCGAGAGCTCTTTGTGAGTTTAGATTGATGTTGGCTGTGGGCTTGCTGTAAATTATTATGTTGAGATATGTTCTTTGTATTCCTAATCTCCAAGACTTTCATCATGAAGGGGTGTTGGGTTTTGTCAAAGTCTTTTTCTGCACCTGATGAGATCATCATGTGGTTTCTGACTTTCAGTCTGTTTATATGGGGGATTACTGTATTGATTTACACATGTTGGACCATCCCTGCATCTCTGGGATGCAACCTACTTGATCATGGTGGATGATCTTTTTGATGTGTTCTTGCATTTGGTTTGCAAGTGTTTTGATGAGAATTTGGGGTGGGGAGGATCTGAGAGGAATGGGAGGAAAGAAAGCTGTCATCAGAATGTACTGTATGAAAAAAAGTTTTCAATGAATATATATTTGTAAGAATATCTTCTTCCTTTATTTTATACTAGCCAGCACTCCTCATATCACCCATTATTGCAAGATTTTGAGTGTGTTGATCAAAGTCACCATTGTTTTCAGCTCAGTAATTATCAGTTGTTCTTTGTTCAAAGGGACATAAGCAAATTGCCAGCAGGCATAAATAAGAATTCTAATTCTGGACATAATTATTTCCTATACCCAAACCCATACCCACCCAGCCTCACGCCCATTTCACTTGGGGCCCAGTAAGCAAGTGTTCAGTTACTTTTGCTTTTGGGCTGAATACCAATGAAAATTTTCCCTATGAAAAGGAATTATATGAAGAAAATGTCTTGTCTATGAATACAGAAATTAAAATGATCCATTTCCAAGCTTTATGGTAATGTCTCTAAAGATTGCTACATGTTGCTGGTGCCATTATTCAAAGCCAAGTTCTTGGGCAAAGTTCGGGAATCTGCCCAAGCTGCAGTCATTCAAACCATCTGCAGATGCTTGGCTTTGTTGCTAGAGCAACCAACCTAATTTGAAGCATTCTTCAACATCTTCCTTTGGAGTATTTCAAGTTAACAACATGCTGTACCTGAAGAATGCCAAGCTCGTTTTTATGGTTCTGGTTAACTAAGAGACAATGAAGAATCAAGTCTAGAAGGGGTCAGGAAAAAACAAAATTCCCGTGAGCAAAAGACGCTGTTAGTGCCACCCTCAGACCAGTCTCCATCTTCTCAGGGCGGATGACCAGAGTCAGAGGGAAATACTGACAGGAAAATTCCTGCTGCTTCCGGCTCATCCCCTCTAGCTGTCTCAAGACCCAAATGCACAGCAGACTAGTTGTATAGTAATCCATATTTCTGTTTAGTTACACGGATCGTTTGAGAAGTGAGATTTGGGATGTCTTACTGTGTGGTAAGAAACTAGAGCCTGTGCGTCTGCCTGGCCTGGTAAAGTCGTGCCAGCAAGCACGCTGCCACCATTAACTGCATTTGAGTTTACGTACATTGAGTCGTTCTGTATTTAAAAGCTTGACATACTTCTTAAAGGTACGGTGGCTATTTATTTCAAGTATTAATACATCGTAGACAAAGCAGAGCCCATACAACTTACAGTTTCAGGAACATTTTCCATCCTCCCAATTGAAAGCAGGAGACAGCAGGAAGTGTCGGTCTGAAGCTGGGAGCTCTCTGAGAAAGGGAGGAAGAGGTCAGGCTCTGTGGTAATCCCTCAGAAAGCATGTTTACCAAGCAGCTACATGGTATGGAAAACACAGGGGAACACTTGGCACACTTCTGCCTTAAGTGACTCAAGAGCTAACAAGAATTGGGGGTGGAGTCCCTGGATAAAATGGGGGAATAAATAGTTAATGAACTTTGGAGAAACTGAGGAGGACATGTTTATAGCACTAGTCCCCCATTAAGATCCAAAAATCAACTTTCAGGAGTTGGTTTTTGTGAATGCTTCCTGAACAGCATACAAGTTGAAGATGATTGTGTTTGCTGACCACATTTGCCCTAATGCAAATACTTTTGGTTCCTAGACTGAGAGGTGGAGTGTTTGAGATTTAACTATATGTTATAATTGCAAAAAAAAAATAGTGAGTTTCATAATGTTCATTAAGAAAGCTTCCATTAACTTGAAGCCCAGTTAGTGAGTTGAATATCCTGTCTATGAGACTCTTCATTGATGCCTCCTTTAAAAGTACCCAGGAGTTGACATGATGGTTGTCCATGTGCTGTGAGTCATGAAAGAACACACATTTGTTTTCTTATGCTAGATCCACTCTCCCCATGCATACACCCGAGAGGACCACGCCACCTTTCAGGTCTCATGCTCAGTTCTCACTATGGTGATTCTATTTCTCTGAGGATAAAACTGCACGGCCCCTATTCTTCTTCCTAGCTGTGCATACGTGTTCACACACCCCCTCACCTTAGGACCTTTCTACTTTTACACTCAAAGCCAAGTTTAGTTTAGAGAACTATCATAAAATCCTGCCTATTTCAATATGAATTTATCACGCCAATTCAAATATGAAACTGACTTTTAAACATCATGAAAGGACAAGTAATTAAACTGTAAACACTTCTTAGAGTCAAACTTGCAAAATTCATTGCTAAAAAGCCACTCACACTAGACTTTCTCTCTAGACGTCCTTCAATGTGCAGTAAGGCTCACTCTGTTTTGTCATGTAGCACCTTCACGAGGATGTGGCTTGTCTCTGACAAAAAGCCATACTGCAGGAAAGGAACGTTCTTTATTTATATTTACATTGCCTGTAATATGTTTGAGGGCAGGTTTTGGATATTACAATTATCCTAAGATACCTAAGAAGCTAGAAATCAAGATGACAATCTTCAGAAGGTGTGACATCTGGACTTCGATTATGTTTATGCATGCTTTGTTCTTTAAAATCTTGATGCATTCAGCTAAGACATTTACATAATTAAACAGGTGAGTCAGTCATTTGTGAAGTGTTTATTAAATATCTATTGTGAGTCCCACACTGTGCTGTAAACACTGTAAAACCACAAATCATGCATGAGCCCTGTCCTCAGCATGCTCACACTCCTGAACAGACTGAGACAGCCCTCGTTCCCATGAGGTGCGAGCAGCCACAAGCTGCTGGAATAGTTAAATGTTTGGCAGCCTCAGGAAAAATGTAATCCGGATAGTAAAGTAAGGCATTGCAGGATATTACATAGATAATTATTCAAATATGAAATTAACACTATGAAAGGAGTCAAGCACCTAGATCGTACATACTTCTTAGAGTAAAACTTAGAAAAATAAAAACCCACAACATTTTGGTTTCATTTCTATTGCTGTGATTTAAAAAAAAAAAAAAACTTGACAAAAAGCAACATAGAGGAAAACGGATTACTTGGCTTACAATTCCAAGTTACATTCCGTTGCAGCAGGGAAGTCAATGCAGCAAGAATTCAACAGCCAGTTATATCACATCCGCAGTCAAGGCAGAGAGAAATGAAAGCATTCATGCTTAGTACTCAGCTTTGTCTACTCTATGGTCTGGAGCCCCAGACCAGGGAAAGGTGCAGTCCACTTTCAGAGTCTTCCCACATCCAATGAACTGGTCAAGAAAAGACCTCTGTGGAGTAACCAGAAACGTGCCTTTTAGTTAACTGCAGATCCAGTCAAGTTGATAACCAGGGTGAGCCATCACGAGTCCACCCTGTGAGCTGACACCCAACCACATCTCCTTTTGCTATGTTGAATTTCCAAGTGAAAACAACAGCAGGTCATGGTGCCACCTCACATGATGTAACTGGTCCCCACACAACCACAACCTCAGCAATTTCTGTGGAATAGACGGTACCTATTCAAATGTGACCATTAACTGAGATGAAAGAGATTTCCAAGCAGACAGACTAATAGGAAGAAACATAAGGATAGAACGGACTGAGAGCAAGCTAGAGCCAATATCAAGACATCCAGGAGCCCCTCTCCTCCTCCTCTTCCTCCTCCTCTTCGTCCTCCTTCTCTTCCTCCTCCTCTTACCCCTTCCCTCCTCCCTCTTCTCCCCTCCCCCTCCTCCTCTTTCTCCTTGGTCTCCCTTACCCTGTAGCTGTACAAGAAGCATTTGTCAACTACCCACTCCAGCCTAAAAGGCAAGCCATCCTACCTCACCCCCTGGGGTCACACCACCCACTTGTTACATCTGATGGGAACTCCCATCCTTTCATGAGTGCACCAGGACGACCCACTGTCCTCAGGACATGCAGAGGAAGGGAGCTCAGAAAACAGCCCCCTCTGGGACACTGGGAGTACTTGCAGTCTCTATGGAAGAAAGGATAATTTCAAATCCCAGGAAACAAGTCTTGGAATACGGTTTCTTTCCTTCATGGTTTTCACATAGCTGAATGTGTTCTGCTGTGGGCAGTGGAAGAAGGACAGCCATGTTTTCCTCTTCAAAGGTCAGTGGAACGCAAGTAAGCTACGTGAGCCCAGCTGGGTACTGCTGCAACATCACTAGGAGAAACTAATGTCTGATGCCTGTAAAACTATGTGGGCAGCAAGCAGACGGGTCCCCGTTGGGATGTCCAGTGCAGCATGTTTGTGAGGGGCAAAGATGGACCCGTGCTCAAACCCCTTTGGCCGCTGTTCTCTGTTCCATATTTTCACGGGCGTGTGCCTGGGCTTACTGTTGGCTGAAAACCACTGGATCAATTACAGGCCAGGCAGTACTCCAGGCACTGCAGGGTCTGCAGAGGCAAACCAGGAAAGAGTCCTCCTGCGGAGCTCAAATGTGTCCTGTTCTACCCTACCCTTCTCGTCACAGCTACACTCCAAGCCTCACGACATAGTCCAGTAACAAGGATCCTTCCAAAGACCCACCACTTCCTTCCCTGTTGTTGGTTATACTAACTAAGGTTACAGGAGGAAAGAAAAACCAATAGCATGATTTTTGTTAGTTTAACAGTCTAAAAAAAAATTCACAAAATGTATTTTTGCCATAAATCAAAATTACTCTAGTGAAAGGTGTGTTTATAATTCTCTTTTCAAAGGCATTCGAGTTGAAAGTGCACATGACTTTGTTTACCTGTGGCTTGACTAGCAAATGGAATATTGGAAATGTACCCCACCCCACCCCGCTCCCCTCACCAACTTCAGGCATGGCCAAGTGCTTTCAGTTATGGCCCTTACCATTGTCTTTTCGTTGTTCAGTCTGAATCTGAAGAGGTTTGCTTCCGTAGTTACTTTAACTCAAAGGATGCACCTAGACCCTGCCTCCATCGGCCAAAGCACTTACGCACCCGATAAACTTCTCCAGTAGCTCAGGCTGGCCTTGAACTCCTGATTCTCCTGCCTTACTCTCCAAGTGCTAGGACTACAGGAATGCTTTGCCACACTCACATCAACACTGGGAATTTTCAGTGGGCATTTGAAATGAGGCAGAGAGGTGGGGGGGGGTGCTCCTCTGAAAGGGCTGTTCCTAGCCCAGCAACAGCACCAGGCTGCCTCTAAGAACAGCAGGAGTACGCTTACCTGTGGACCTAAGTTGACCTCAGGGACATAGGAAGGAAAGCAGTGGTTGCCCTGGCCTAGGAAGACAGAGAGAGAAGGAATGGAAAGTGTCTCATAGATGCAAGGGCACAGTGTGGCGGAAGGAAAAACTCCTCGAGTCCTCTCGCACGGTAGACAACTGTGGCCAACAGCTACCACAGATGCCCAAGCAGCAGGCGTGGTTTTCAATGTTCCTCACACAAGGAAATTACGTAGATATTCGAGTTTTCCCTAACAAATCATTATGCGTTTTGCATGTAATTCAAAATGTCCTCCTGTAGCCTGTAAATTCATACAATTACCGTGTCCATTACTTACACATATTAACAAGAAAATGTAAGAGTTAATAACAAAAAGAAACCGAGAACCTAGGGAATGTATGCAGTCTCTCTGCGATGGAGGCTGTGTCTGCCATGTTCAGCACCACAGCCCGCAGCCTGATATGTGACGTAAGGCAGTGACTAGGGCCATGTGTGCTGAAATTAGCATGCGCTTGATCTAGGTCACAAGCTGTGAAATTTGAAGCCTTATTTTCTCTAAGATCTCTAAGCTTTCATTTTCTCATATTATAATAGAGGTAATCAAGTTATTGAGGGGATTAAATAAAGTGTTCCACAGAGTACAGGGCACAAAGTAAGAATTCAATCAACAGTAGCTATTATTAAATTCTTAATAAACACTTGCTGCTCGAATAGTCTGCAATAAATGGCAAGGTCCTGTAGCTAATTTCTGAGCTTAACTGCCAGCCATCTATTCATATCCTGTGTCCTATTTTTGTGCCTTTTGTAACCATTGATACATCTCCATTTCTGCTGTTCAGCCAGTGTCTCTGTTCCTATTCTAACCACTACATCCAAGGTAACCAGTAGGCATCTCATCTCCAAGTGCTTCTCCTTTGGATCAACAGGGCAAAGCCAACTCCCTGCCTCTACCACTCACTCCAGCTTTGTAGAGGTCTATGCACACACACTGTCCTGTCCATGCGTGTGCCAGTGTCTGTGAACATGGCCTTGCTCTGGACCATCTGTGAAGAGTGTGTTTAATAGTGATCTTAGCTTGAGAAACACAGTGAGCTACATGCAATACAGAAGGGATGGGGGAGTTGTTCTGTTGAGGATCATCAAATGAAGAGGTGAGAAAAGCAATGACACCTCTAAGGAGTCTCATCGGAGTTCTCTCAGCTGGATAATGATTCTGAGAACTTCTGTGCTCACCTGAAACACAGCGTGGCAAAAGCTAAGTAATTCACCTAAGTGGAACCATAATCCCCAGAACTGGGTGATAAACTAACCATAGTTCATGACAGAAAGAAAAAAAGAAGAAGAAAGATTTGACAAAACCACAAACATACTCCATACTTTGAAAGATGTAAGTCCTAGAAGAAACCAACATGAGTCCATCTTACGGTGTCAAGAAGAATTAACTTGGAGACTATAAACAAGAAAATATAAGACCACCAAAGTGAGCCCCTCATCTCTGGGGGAATGAGAGGAGGTTTACAGGCTTCTTCTCAGCTTCTACTCTGTCTTTCTCAGACCAAAATTATCCTTGTTTCAAATTGTGGAATCCCTCCCTTCCCTTAGCCACAGGTCAGTGAATTCGGGCTCCTACCTGCTACACTGGCCATTTCCCAGTCCCCCGACAACACAAATTGAGCCAGAAATGGAAATTAACCCAATTAAACTGAATTAAGATATGAAAAGTTGGGGTGCACATTCCTTGCAACATGAGGAGTCCTTGTAGGTACAGACCATAGCTACATGCAGCTCACATCAGTGAATCAGCTTCATTAAAGATAAGGGCAAAAATCACATGGAGCTGAATGTGAGGCTAGATCTACCTGGCTGGGGATTTAACTCAGCGGCTGAGCACCTGCTTGCCTGGCATGTGCAAGGCCCTGTGTTGGGTCCCCAACACACACAAGAAAGGTCTGTCCAGTGGATGCAGGTGGAATTAAAATGTGAAATGCCTAAATAAAAAGAATCTTGAAAATGATAATGTTAGCAAAATAGTCTTTTAATTTATATTTAGGACAGAGGAGCAAGAAGCTACAATTAATTATTAGTAAATAGCAAATAGAAAATAAAGTCTTTAACTATAAAGACTTGAAAGCATTAGTAATAAATATAATCAAAGAAGTAGAAGAAACTATATCCAAAGAATTTAATGAAGCATAATAATGACTCAACAAATAGAGAATCATAATAGAAGTATATATACATACATAATATATACATATATACATGCATATATATACATATATACTTTTTATGTATTTTTCAAGCTTCTTTTTATTTAGGCATTTAACATTTTAATTCAATCTGTATTCACTGAACATATTATTAATTGATATATGTTTATTATACATATATATTATTCATATACAGGTATCACATAGAAATTTTCAAGTTTGAAAAATATAGCTGAAAAAAAGAATTCATTGTGTAAGTTCAGCAGCAGATCTGAAATGACAGAAGGAAAGGAAGTTCAAAGACAGAACAATAGAAATTATCTAATCCACAGAACTCTGTCCTGCTGAGAAGACTCGGGGAAATGAGCAGATGTCCACAGATCTCTGTCACAGTGTCAGCCTTACTGGCCGATATGGAATGGAGTCCAGAGAAAGAAAAAAGTGAAGGAGTGTGTAACTGAAGACATCATAATTGAAAAATCCCCGAATTTGAGGAAAACATGAATTAACATATTTAAGAATCTCAACAAGTTCCTAAGAGGAAAAAGCTCAGAGATACAGACTTAGAGACAACATATTCAATCTCCTGAGGGTCACAGACAGTGAGAAAACCTTAGAAATACTGGGGAGAAATAGTGCATACAAAGCATCAGAATAGCCAACTTCTCATTAACAAAACAATGTAGACCAAGAAGGATTAGAAAACATACTCAAATCCCCGAAAGAGAAAATATTTCAATCCAGCATTCTGTAGTCAACAAAACTGTCCTTCAGAACAGTGGCAAGTTAAACATATTCCCAGGTGAACACATACTGAGAGGATTCATTGCCAACACACCTCAGCAAAAATGCTAAAAAGATTTTAACACTGAAAAGGAATACCAC